TAGTCAGGTAGGTTTAGAGTTGCAACAAAAGCGGTAACCATTTCGTTGTGCTGGAAGCCTGCAAATAAAGAGTTTGTTTATTGATCTCGAGCGCCGCTATGGCAATTTATTGCACATCCGAGGTCACACGTGTATAGCCAATAATGAAACTCGTGCAAATTTAAGTGTTGTGTTCATGCACTCCATATCTCGATTTTCCTTATCGGTAGTATGACGACTCTATTATAAGTTGTATGCAGTAACTTCACACATAGCAGTTATATTTCCGTAGTCACATATCAAAAAGATGTGGACACGAGATGTCTTACTTTCTTTACTTTCAATCCTTATAAGTGATATTTAAATATTGATTTCTTTGTTTAAATTCATTGAAAACAGTATTTATTACACACCCGTTTTTAGAAAATCTTATATTTGGAACCATGTATAGGTAGGAACCGGCCCGGCGCGGTGGTGTATAGACATAGAGTGCGCAAGCGCTATGATGCAACGCGATTATAGATAGGTGCGCTCGGCAGTGGTGGAAACATCTACGTCAGCGCGGTAGGTGGACCGGCTCGTGTACTGCGCAACTAGGTGTGTAGAACTACACAGTGAAAAAATACAAAATCATGTGACGAATACAGATAAAATGTTATCAGCTGACGCGTACCTCCGTATTTGTTTGATGTACACTTGCCAGTTAATGGTATTCTGATCAAAGTAATCAAGCACATTTTCAATAGCAAGTTGTGTCAAAGTTGGTCATTCTAATGAAACCACCGATAAATATTAACCCAAAATTTTATAATGATCCTCACTGGGTCCAAATTCTTGCAGTAGGTATAACATGTACAAAACTGCAGTAATACTACTGCAAGTTCTGGGTGTCACTATATGTTATAATTTGTATGTCCAAATTAGGTATTGATCTTCGTCCAACCATACCTATAAATTATAGACCTATGTACCTAGATAGGCCATATCCATATTGTACAGGTATAGTGACTAAATGATAATATTTATTAAAATTCGCATTGCATGCAGAATACTGGCAAAGCCTTGCTTCGCTCTAATAGCTATGTCCTCCGTCAAGGTCTGCCAGCTGACGTCAAGCTCTTACGCTCGGTAACAAGAGATTTTGCATCCAGTTATATTTATTCTATGCAACTAGTGAACACGTCAGTTACTATCGAGATAAATACTATTGAAGACAATGCAACTGCTTCGAAATAGATCTTATGTAATCACGTAAACGGACCAAACTGGATCTAACTTCTGTATAGGTTGCTTTTTTCAGGTATAGGAGCCGGCGATAGCTGCGGCGAGAAGGCGCAAGTGGTGCGCAGGAACAGGTTCTGCACGGATCACATGTGGCCAGGTCGGCGACCTCAGGGACGATAATCCGAGAACAGCCGTGGCCCGCCACTCTGCCACTCCGCCATTGCCACTACAACTATCATATTTTGGATGCGAGATAAAGAGCTAAAAGCATTTTATTAATTTCTACAAATTACTTAGGTATGATCTGATAAAATTAAAGACGGTATATTCGATAAAGTGGAAGCTAATGAAGTGCTTTATAGGAGTGGTATATTTATATTCATATAAATTGGGAATTATGACTCAGGAGTATTTATTTCACTGAGGCAGTTGCGCACTTTTAAACATTTCTTTACGGTTCCGTTGACACCGTGTCAAAAATTCATAGACGCGCCTATACACATTGGGTATCGATAGAACAGTTGGCAACGATGCTTATGTCATAATTCTGCACGGCGACACCACGTCTGGGACATGCCATTGTTCTGCTGCACCAATAATAGCCTGTTAGCAACGGCTAATGTTTGCGTAGGTTGCCTATCCGTACGTGGTCATATTTTGACAATAGTTAAATAAATCAGTTTTTGCAAAACAAGTATAGCCTTCAAAATGATATGAGGTCACCGCTTAATGTGTTTACCAAAAATTTTGGAAAAGCTCTGAATAAATTACTACTATTGGCGTGACGATTGCCTATAACATTATTAAGAAAAAAATCCACGAAATTTTTTTCATTCTACGGGAGTAAATAGCCCTTACGTAATTGAACAGAAAATATGTAATAGGAGAGCGAGCGCGACGAGTCTCCGGTCCGCCCACCACAAGCATTTGGCCGCCAACAATATGTACACAAGGTTATAAACAGAGCGTGGGCCTGCAACGCAAGCCAATACAATGTCTAACACCTACTGTACCTACGTCGCGTCGTTTGCTATTTTGTTCTCTTCATAATATGATGCTGAGGGACCATTGACAACATACTAATACTTGGGTATTAATGACAGTAGTGTAATGCTCCGACACACACCTTTTCCTGGGATGCCTGTGTTGCCCAACAGCACCAGAAAACTGTACATTCTCTTCGGAAAGCAATTTTCATTCCTCGTATTTTTTAATGGAATAGGAGGCAAACGATGTAATGGATCACCTGATGGTAAGCTATCAGCAATACCAGAGGAGACACAGATGCGTTGCCGGCCTTTTAAAAAGAATACACTTTTTTATTAAGGGTTTGAAGGTCGTCGTATCTGTTCGGAAATACCGTCGACGACAGATCATTCTACAATTTTGCTGTGCGGCTGAAGGCTTCGCGAATAATGCACAGGTGTGGCTTGTCATCCATCCATATGATGGGGATGGAAATGATGTCGTGTGGGCCGATGGCAAAAATACGCTGCAGGTATCAGATCAAACAATTCCTCAGAGCACTCCTCGTGGTATAAACGATAGAAGATGCATAACGAAGCTACACCTCTACGCACTGCCAAAGTGTCTAACCGGTTTGAAATAACCAGGACACCCAACAATCCGAATCGTACGCCGCTGCTGAACGCGGTCCAGAGGAAGAAGCTGGTACTGGGGTGCCCCCGCCCAAAGATGAGCAATGTATTCCATGTGGGGCCAAACTTGCGCCTTGTTTTTGAAAGATACAGTAAAGCATGATACGTATTTTCGGCACAGAAGTTAAACCACTTTTTCTAAAGTGAGCTAATTAGAACCTTTATAAAATAATTTAAAATACGTAGGTACCTATGTGTTTATGACATCTATGAAAAAATCTTACTAGGTAATTGCGTGGACTCTAATGATCATGTTAATAATATAACACAATAAAGAGAATCGTCATAACTACCTGCAATAAACTACCTATCGGCTGCGGTCGTAGTCACTCACGCAGTCATAAACATTTATGTCAATTTTACAATGGTGTTGCATAACTGCGGCCGTAGAGCGCTGCGCCGCGCCTTGACATTGTACGACACAGTGAACCGCGCACGTGGATCGTAAAATATATTTTATGCACATATGTTCGTTGCAGTCTTTATTCTTGGCAGTAAATGTGATTGCCATATTGGACTGATGCAATAATCCAATAACTAACAAATCAAAGTAGCTTAGAACAAAAAAATGATCAAATAATTACTTAGATATCTACTTACATTATTATGGGTATTTATTATTACTACTTTTAGGTAATAGATAATATCTTTTAGTATTTATTTAAGTATTAGATAATTATCTCGTTGCATCTACAATATACATGTCAAGTTTATTCATATCATCGTAACTCAAATAACCTATTTTACAAAAGTTGCTGATGAATAATCAAACTGTTATTTATATTAATTACTTAGTACCTTTGTACTAGTTAGAGTTGTGGACAAGTTTGATGCAAAATGCGTAAATGTGTGTAAGAGGGGCAAACTTTTTTTAGCAGTTCCACTGGATCTAATCTGTGACTAGTACATTTTCAATGTCCTATCTATATTATTAGGTACGGCAGACAGGACAATAGATCATTCCAATTATGTTAACAAAGGTACACTAGTGATGTATACTAGAGTCCGACACGTGTAGTCAATATTTCTACTCATAATGCACCGATGTTATGTACTAAACGACGTGCATAAAGTGTCAGTGACTTCTTATCTAACGCATGACTTTGGAATATGACTAGCTACTTAGTTGGTTATTGCTTCGATGAGGTTGATTAAGTAGTAGACGTTGATTAGTAATTATCAGACTACAAAGAAAAAAATGTGTGTACTAGTGTGACATAATAATAAATATCTATTTTTACTGAATTTTATTTGTTGGAACAATATACACTTTCAAAATTTTATGACGTAGATAGTAAAAGTGACGAAGTATAGATATGCCCTGCATGCACCACTTGGTTATTAGTTGAATGCCAAGAATGGCTGTTTACAAGTAATTACGTTATTGCACAAAGACATTGTTACAATATGTCTATGGTATTACATAAGTTCATAGTTCTCCTGTTTTAAATGTCGATGAGCAAGCAAACCTTGAAGTGCATCTGTGCAGTTTGACTCATTGCTTAGCGAATTATGCGTCACAAAGGATTTTATATAAAAACAACGTCTTTGTAATACAGTACAGTAAACTGACAGTTATTTCGCAAATCATTATTATCTTTTAATGGATTTATCAGTAAACATATTGTTGTTGTTTTGGTAAGACCACGACACAAAGAGTAAGAGATCTTTTCAATGTGTAAATGAATCTTTTCAATGTAGGTAAACAATAAACATGGACAAATTATTTAAAACGTTAAATTATCCCTAGACACCATATACCTATGAGAAATTATCATTCACGCGTTTTATATCTATTCCTAAATAATAAAGGGCAAAGTTAATGTCAGAGAAACTCTTGTGGTATTAACCTACCTGCATAGCGCTTGGCACAGTGGTACCTATCTATTTGTGATGAAACAGTTATTTAATATACAAGTAATTTCCCAATTATCTTCTTTATCTTGCGGTCTTTGTAACATGAAAGCGACTACGAAGTGTGTCACGGTCTAATTGAAGTCGTACTGGCGACTGGGTACGTTCCACACGACATACTATATAATTTGGTTTCTGCACCGTTACCATCTAATTGCAATTTAAGATTAAATGTGCTACAAAATTATAGAGAGCAATCTTCAGGATCTTTAATATATGACTTACCCTTTTCTTGCGTGGGTGGATCTCTTCATAGTCCATTGCGATTCCTTCGTCGCTGAAGGAGGAAGAGGCTGGTGGAGGCGACGGTGTGCCCGAGCGCCATGATGAGTCTGAGCTGCTACTGGCTCCTGGAGATACTGATGATCTATCACCCCAACCTGCACCTGTCATAATTACAATACATTCTTTAGGTCTTTTTTATATTCGATTTTAAATTACAGTGAATAAAGTTGCTTGAATGCATTAAATAAATTGCGAAACGGAACTTTGGTCAGAAACTTTCACTCACTAGAACGGTTATTTTCTCGTGGCACACATGCGTTTGCGCATTAGAACAGTCGCTTTTGCTGTTCTCTAGAGCTATCGTTAAGTTTTATGATTGTGTGAATGGTCTTGATGTATAGCTATAATATTATTACATAAGGAATCCCGAGCCATCGCCGTGTACAAACATGTATGTAACTGAAATGTTCTGTTTAGTTCAAATATTTCAATGATATAATTAGTTTCAGAGATCGACTTTTATTCGTAAAATAAAGGGTTGCTGCAAATATACTAGTTGAGCTAGAGCACATTTGGTTGAAGCTCATCATGAGAGTGCTGTTACACCAAATACCTGTCTAGACACTGTCTAGACTGCTGTCTAGACGATATCCACGTTTTGCAGATTTTATCCAGAATACAACCGGGCGACTCCCTTAATACGTATATTTACATTAAGTTGAGAGTAGTTTTTGGATTTAATTAAGTATTCACATGCATCTCCCGGTTTGAATAAAATACCTACTTACATAGAAAATTAAAGTTAATAATAGGTTGCGGTCACCGGTGACCGCAACCTATTGTTCTATAATTGTGTCTACAAAACCGGTACTCGACGAATTAAGAAGACCAATTTTTTACCGGCTGCCAAAAGGAGGAATATCATTAATAGGCGGGTTTAGTACCGACAGTTGTCAGGCATATTTCAAGGAAAAGATAATGCAAGGCTCTATCTATAGGTACCCTTATGAAAAAGTCAGGGAGGTGAGTTCTGCTATAACAAATAACATTTGAATTGGACAATTACATAGTGATTGGAATGTACAAATACATATATACGTCGTACCTAGGCAGCTCGTCTTATGTAAACATACGGTCAACTTGTAGTGTGCGTAAGTAGAGATATGGCATAACGTAACAGTATGGTGACGTAATTCACGTAATAATAAATGTGGGAACTGACTATCTACCAGTGCTGACGATGCAGATCAGCGTTGTCGTAGATGCAAAGGTAATGGTGTGTGCGCTGTGGTGCCGTGTGGTGTCGTGTCGAGCGACTTACTGGGGCGCGGTGAGTTCGGGGAGCAGCTCAATGACATCAGCACGAGGGCAGCATTGCACTCGTTCATCTGTTCGTCACGCTCGCCGTAACCTTGGTCACAGGAGCTGCTTGGCCCGCGCTTACGTGAACTGCAACAAATAATAATCAAGTTATTTTTGCTCTGACAATAATATGTGGGATGACTGGATAATGAAAAACATTTAATTTGAAAAAAAAAACAAAATATTTTCATGACATTTCATATGCATATACGTGAGTTAAAAAAGTAAATACGTAGGTAATATAAAACTATAATTATGATTTTCGCATTACTTTTCTCTTCCTCTTAGGGTTCTTTCAGGAGTATGAGAGAGACTAAGAATTAACTAATATACCTAAGTAATATCTAACAAAAGCTGCCTCTACCCTTTCAAAACGTCGCGGAGAACCTAACACACCCCGGTGTGTTAGGTTAATACCCGTATTATTAATGATTAAAACAACTTTTTGATAGCGAGCACGCTTCTTTATTCCGCACAGGTTTTTGGCAAAAAAAGAGAAAGATACACACATAGACAATACAGAACTACCATAGAGGGATAGCATAGACTAAAAATGGGATTAAATTCTATTACAAAAAACTATTTCGATATATATAAATAACACCGGGGCTCCGGCTCGACGTGCAGGAGAAGGAACGGGGTGGTTTTTGGTCAGTAAGAGTCTGACACTCCCTCCCGCCTCACCCAGGCGGGAGCAGACATTCGATGATTTTACCCCCTGAAAAAAACCCCTTCAAAACATATGAGGCGAGACGTGATGGTGTGATAATGACTGAGCGATCATCAGTAAACACGTTCAAAACAAAATTTGTTTTTACAAAACAGTTGCCAACTGGTGACAGCGTCATCAATTTGACCTATAGACTTTCAGGTTTCTGCTTAGAATGACTGCTATAAATCTTCGCATGACATTTCGAGACCGACAGCCTTGCGCGACCTTCGAGGTAATAGAATTTACTCCGCATTTTTTCAGGAATAAGTAACGTAATAATGTGTAAATGTATCAACTACCACTCTTACTACTACAGGATCAAATAAGTTACAAAAATTAAAATATATCGAGACAGTTCCTACAATGATTTCAAATATAAATTATAAAGGTATCTAATGTTTTCTTCTTAATTCACAAATAATAAAAATCTTAACAATAGTAAGCAAATCCCTAACAGATATGGTAAAATATATTTCTAATAATTATTAGAAATATATTTAATTGAGTATGATAACGTTCTGAAGTATCCACAGAAGTATAGAAAAATGTTCAATTGTGTTCGTGTTGAAAAAATCTAGCTATAGCAACATTTAATTAAACTAAATTTAAGTACTTATTTGAATATCTAATCAAATCTAACGTGACATGTGTTACGATAAAATATCTAATTATATTAAGATTGATTCATTATTCATTGTAACTTAATGCATTGTTTGAAAGAGCGATGGAGTGCTAGCATTCCCGAATGTTTCTCGAGGTTACCGCCAAAGGTTCACGTCATTGAACAATCAACAAGTCTAGACTGGATTATTGAACTTAGGAGTACCAATGTAGGGATGGCGGCATGAAGTGACTCGAGGTCGCGGGGATGCGTGGGGTGGGTGCGTCTGTTGCGCAACCGGCGGCGACCCACAAGCGATAGACATTTGAACGAGTCACACAGGACGAAGGCTTTTACTCTGACCGATCACCCTGCCACCTTCACAACTTATAGGTACGGTACTAGGTCGTTCAACTCGACTCGCTCAGCGGTTGAACTGAACGCCGGGGCCCAATAACCTGCTCTGTCTATAGCTGTATTAAGTATGTATTACTAACTATATCTATTTTAAAACTAAAGTCTTATTTTTATGTACCTACAGCTAATTTAACATAAATAAATCGCACGTTCAGGTACTTATGAGTGCGTGTATTCTAGTGATTTATTGAACACTGTAAAAATAGAGTCAATGACAAGCTATATCAGTAGTGAAAAGGTAAGCCTGCTTGAACTTGAGTTCACTTCGGGAGCCTGTGGCGGTGTCCTTGACGACCACGAAGCGGCCCCGAGCGACTGCGTTCACCCAAGATCACCGACCGGCGCGACACGGCGCTCGCATCCCCTTTTATTAAATAGCATCTTTACTAAATATCTACGAGTAACAAATGTAATTTAACCTTATTTAGATATTTAAAGTGTCAACCATTAATAAAATCAGAATGAAATACCACTTATTGGTTGAAGTAAATTACAAGTGTGTAGTGTATGCTTAGATATTGCCTGCATTGTTACTTGTATTTTTATCTGCACATTGTGTCGTCTATGAATGTTGTCTTTCTTTGTACTAAATACATAATTATTTATCATAATTTAGTCAAAATTAAAGTTCTTTACCTATATTAAGTTGCATGGTCTATTTTATTTAATAAAAAGTAAAACATAGAGCTATGAAAACGCATGCAATAATGAATGTCATTGTTTTACTAATGTGATGCGAAACGATTTTCTTAAGTAAACCCAAGATGATGTGTTACTCAGAAGTAAAAATATTATAAACAGTTGGCACAGCCGATGAGTCGACCTACGAACGCACCCTAGGAACAAGGTGTAATAACCTCGCGCCACAACGACCTTCTATCAGGTTCGTTATCCGATTCAAAACAGATAATAATTTTAGGGGTGTACTGTAGGTCACTTAAACATATTATTACTGTAAAAAATTTACGGTTCAACGTATTAGCGAAGTGCTAAAATAGAAATCCCATGAATATTTTCAGTGTGCAATGTGAAATCGTTCATTATTGTATAGAGCGACTAGGTTAAGTGACGGACAACGGGGTCGTTATCGTTCTAAGACGACGACCGATGCTTACGGAGGTGACATTGTTTTTTTGTATACGAATACGATAATAGGGATGTTCGCCGGCCGGTGCGCAGTCGCTGCCGCGGCGCGTCACGGCGCGGCCTCTCGTCACCGACGACGTCATTTCCTATGAACATTATGTAAAATGGCTACGTATCAAAATGATACCGGACTTACTCATGTCACCGGGTGACCATTCCGAGTCAAATTTCATTGTCGTTGCAATGACGTCAATAGAAGTATTTTATCCACATTCTTAGTTCATCGACCAAGCGTGATACACGTATACTATTAGTTTCATACAATTAAAGGAATCGGTTTTTATAGTTTGCCATGGTCACCGGGCTTGTGCGCGTTACCGCGCAGCACCTGTGCACACATTCGCTCCGCACCGCGACCGTACTGCCCGCACTACACACGTAACATTGAAAACGACCTTGCGGCTTGTTGCCGGCTACCGTGTTACTGGTTTAGCACTGATAGCAAAAAATATTATGCGTGATATAAACAATCCTTAATTTGTGTTAAATAATATTATGATTATTTTGGCAAAGCTACGTCAGATACAAAGTTCATCAAACATTATTTAACTACTCGTATACGTAGCCTACGCGTTATACCTCCAACAACAATTTTAGCGAAACTAGAATCTAACACCGATTTCACCATGTTGTGAGCTCGTAGTTTTTTTTCTAATGAAGCACGTGAACATCGATACGCATGATGTCGCACTGACACCTACGCACTTCGCGGCTGGTAGACTTTCTTGAAACTACGATGCTTATTATACCTGGCACTGGCTGGATTATTTCGTATATGTTAGTGCTAAAGTAGGTTAGGTAGTTATCGCTGTCCAAACACTGCTTTAGGTACCTACCTTTAGATACAACATTACCTTCGATGACCAAAATTGTACTAGGTAGGTACTTATTATAAAGCATTGTATAGCTTCGAAAAATAAACTGAAGGTCTTCAGCTCTCATTGTGTAAATTCGTCAGTGTTACATTGTACGCTTGAAGCTAATGCGTTTTTTGCCATGTTGATGTAGGTCGGGCGGGCGTTTTTTATATCTATAAAAACATAGATCCGTTGTGTGATCGAGTTGGTGATACGGCTTGGTCTACGCGCGGCGAGTAAGTTTTGATTCAGTTTGACCTACCCACCTTAATGTAAATAATTTTTCGCATCGATTCCTTGCTCCTGTTTCTTGTGAAATATCATGAAAAGTTGGTATTTCTCGAGTTACACACTACACTTCTTTAAATTAAAATTTAACTAGCATGAAACTCTATAGTAGCAAAAAATCATTACTTATACTGTGACTCCCATTATTCTGTAGATTTCGAAGAATAATCGCACACATGAACTGTTTTTGTCCCCGCCGAGAAGTGTAATAACCTGCAGGTAGGTCGCCGGAAAGTCAACACTGAGGTGAACATTCCGGATGAGTAATCGTGTTCCTTGTATTATGACGTATTCGAGTTTTAAAGATGCCCTTTGTTCATTTTGAAGGTGCAACAGCAGTGAAATTTTTATAATTATCTCAATGACGATACGTTATTTTCTTATTTGACTGACTTCACTTAAAGTAACAATTAATTGTAGTTGCATAATGCGTTCTGAATATATTTTTGTAACACTTTCTCGAGCTAGTAGCAACATAACAGCACCTGCCGAATGAGATAACGGGCCTCCTCAACACCAACGAAAGCAAACGTGTACCTATCCAACGTGAAAGTGCCGCCATCGCCCCACCACTGGCTGACTCGCGCGCGCGCGCCTTCTCTTTACATGTTGCGCAAACGCATGCGGAATGTAAGTTAATGTCTTGTGACTTTATTTTGTATTTCCATGGTTAAATTACACTTACTTCGTTCGCAGTGCAGAACATAAAGCCTCACAATATTATTAGGTATTAGATTTAGTCTCTTATCTAGACATCATTCTTGATTTGTTAATAAGTTAAGAAGAAAATTGTATGTGCTGTTTCATAACATTCTAAATACTACGTAATTTAATGATAAGTAGCGTTTTTCTTAACTGGTCATTGATAAAATAAACGAAAATGCGTCGCAGAACACCGTTCTGTGTTTGTCATGGGTTGTAGATACTCAATATCACTATCATATTACCTAAGGAAGATTTTGACAATACTGCCTGCTTGCTTGTTTGCTTGCTGTAAGCACCAATCATTGTGGACCTGGTTATGTCCTAAAATAGTAACCACCTAACGAGAGACTGGTACTGGTTAAGATAAGATTTCAACGACCTAACTGCGTACCCTGATTCTGATGATGAAGACTTTGAATGTAATATAGTAGGTACAAGGAGATGTCTAAGTTAGCTGCTTAGCGAAGCTACTTGCATTTATTGCTGACTGTAGGAATACACTTCTCCAATTAACTTGCCTTGTGTATCATTTGCGGATATCGTTGTGTACTGTACTATTCTAGTGTGCGTGGCGTTCCATTTCGAAACTGGGTCACTGTGTCACACGGCGGCCGCGCCAAGCACCAGCCGAATGCGACGCCATCTTTGAATTTAGTTGATTCATGCATGTACCAAACGAAATGATTACAATTCATTGTACGACTAACGTTCGAATTTTATGTTACAAGTTTCCAAGTGTTGTGTTTTTCACCAGATAACCGTGAGTTGATACAAGGTAATGCCACAACTAATGTCGTCATCAGACGCCTAACTAAAAGAAAACGAATGTTGGCATACTTTCACTTTGGCATGGTCCGATCTGAAATTGCGAAATTTTGTTCACGAATTAAATTTCTATCTTATCTATCATTACAATGAGGAGAGAGAGCGCAGCGCAATCTTGTTAAATTCGTACGTGGTCAGCTTAATTACTAATATTCTGTGTACATCTGCGCCTTGAATTAAATGTCTAATATAAAATTACTCATCTGGTTATTGCGACTGCAATAATTTGCTAAGCTATCTCACAAAATTCATAAAGAATTGTATTTACAAACAGGTTTTATGAAATCATTGCCTACACGGTAAATATCAACCGCTGGCTTTTAGCTCTACTATTAATGCGGACTTCTTAATTATTCTACAAAGGTAGGTATGTAATCGGACTGACCTTCGACAGGTTGTGTCCGTAATCCGTTATTTTAGTGAAGAATAATAAAATATAATTTTGTATTGTTCTAAACACAACAACAAGTTAGTTTGAATTTACTTAGTCAAGCGAACCTTTTCAATTGTGAAGGCTTCTCAAGGTAATTGATATCCCAGTAGTTAATACTGTCAAAATATTTGACTAGCGTAGTAGGTCTATAAGCAGCTTGTTCCTTTAAGACTCGCTTTGGTATTGTGAAATTTGGACCACGGCGGAGGCCTCGCCTCTCACTATGATCACGATGAAAAGTGAAACCGCGGTGGCGTCGAGCGTCACGTCGTGCCAAGCATTTGATGCTGTTTTTTCCGGTTCTACTAAAGTACAATATAACTTGCTTACTGACGTTAGGTAGATATTACTGGCGATTTATGAAAGTGTTCCTATTTACCACTGATGCAGCAGAGGAAGCTTTGTATCTCTATATAATTATGGCACCTCGATAGTAATTATTGATTTTTTCGTAGATAAGATAGGAATCTAGAAGAAAAAAATGCGTACTAGCCAAAGCTGGATGTACTCGGAACAATTATGTAATGCATTAGATTTTTTAATAATTCTCACAACGTTGCATTGTCTGTCCCTGTTAGAGGCGCGGCAAGGGGCGAGAGGCGCGGGCGGTGGGCTCCGGCCACAGAATGTAGGCAAGTGTGACAAGGACACGCCCGTACTCCGCGCTAACACTTCCATCCAGTTTCTAACGTGCTCGGTGCGCGTTTCGCAACGCTCGCCCGCGCCCGGCCCCACTTCGTCGATGCACAGTGCACACTCGTGAACGATTACATCTACCTACTACAAGGTAACTTACTAAACATACTAGCACCTCATGACTGGGAGTCACTGCCGAGTTTTACTACCAATTTCGTTTGGTTGTAACCTTGACATATTATTAGGCGCCAAAACATCTTTGCCATCGCAATTCGAGAGGAGATAAAAACTCAACTAATTTTTAACACTTTTTGATGAAATGAAAGTTCAATGAAAATCAGGAATACACATCACAGATTCCTATAAATACCTATGTTTGGCCTGGCGAACTAAATAATTAGCAAAATCCACGTAAAGAGATTTTGCAAGGCAGCGAATGGCCATTAGAAATGCAACGGCAGCGGCCTTCCTTAGCGCTTGTGGCGAGGTGAGCCGCTACCTCAAGGCAAAATAGCATTGATATTTGTTAATTAGATTCCCTAGTCCCAGATTTACATCATTCTAATCGTGACTTACAACTTTTGCTCTTGGGACAGCCGAGGGAACTATTTCTCTACAATGTAAATTTTCTTGTCATTTTGAAATATAATGTAACTTACCTTTGCACGGGGCTTGGTGGTACTTCAATAGTAGCAGAGGAACGACGACGATCTCCGGCCATGTCTGCTAATCTAGCAAAGTCTGTGTCCACATCTGCCAACCTGGCTGACTTTCGTGACTCCAACAGCCTTACGTCATCCAGTTTTTTCTTCAACTCAATCCGCACCTGAAGCAAAGTAAAGATAGGTTAGTAAAGCATTTTTAATGCATAAACTTTCATAAATATGGTAAATGAAAGTAAAAACTACACTTGTGGGTCTACAAAACTTCTAGGAAAGATTTACTCGACGAACTTGACGACCACGAGATCAATATGGCCGACCTTCATACGAATTACTGTGATCGGGTGAACGAGTTGGAGTGACGTCATGACCGGATGAAAACGAACATGATGCATGTTCCGTATCACGAACTGCATAATATGTGGCTGTGCCATGAAGAATGAATACGTTTTAGAGTAGGTACTTGATTTAATGTAAATTTAAATAAATATTCTAGAGCTAATTTAATTAAGTTAATTAGTCATTGTTTTCCATGTAGCGTACTGATATACTGTAAAATCACAGTAAGTAATAAGTACCTACCTATTTAATGGAAATTCCTATATACCTACAGCCGAGCTTGCTTTAGAACAGGAAACACACAACTCAAATACTTGCTCTGTAGAGGTAAACGAGTTAGTATTGTATGTGCTTGTCAACATTACTGAAAACTGCATTTGTACATATAATAAGTGCGCTAAGCTGCGTCATTTTTGTAAAGTGTAAATGGAGTATCTTGCTTTGAGTTTAAATCTGTTTTACTTGGATGACACCTATTAAACGTTAGGGAATATACCTACAGTTTTTTTTCTTTATACATAGAAGGAAGAATGTCATGTTGAAAAGTTCTGAACAACATTGTGCAATATAAGTGTTTACGCATTGTGTATAACTATGTTTTTCTGTCAAGGGGAAGTCCGTAACCATAACCTTCTAAGGGAGTTTCCACGTAATTATAATCTACTCTTTTGAAATATTAAATGTACTTAATTGGTTTGTCATACACACGTCAGAGTGTACAACGTATCTGTATGAGCTGAACTTGTAACAAGTATTAGGAAGCAGGCATGCCTGTATGACGCATGTATATCACGCACTGGTAAAGTTGCTCGTATCGCGGTCACACTCTCGGTCAATTATGTGCCAACGAGCAGTGCGCTGTCGACTGGTTGACATTGGTTGCGTTTTCGTCGCGGGCTTCCTTCTACGACGCGACTGCCTTCGTGATTGACACGTTATCTATCCACCTAATATATAATGAGTGTACGTAGTATTTTTTTGATACGTTAGGCAGTATGAATAACCTTGTCATATTTAGCGTCAATTTAGCGAGTGACCACTGTTTGTTTGTTTGTATCGGTCACCTTCTAAATAGAATCGTTGCTTATACTATTCGGGTAATGCGAACGGAGCGAATTATCAGATAACATTCCTGTAGCTTTTTCCTATGTGGCAACAGCTGATAAATATGTCTAATAAAATTGGGTAATTCAAATGTAGAGGCCTTGACAAGTATGAATGTAATTCTGTGAGATTTTTAAAATGATTCCGTATCTACGTATCTTAAATCTCACGGTTTCGAAGTAACTGCGCAGTAGCTACACGCAGTTAGGTACCATGGAGCTAACCTTACTTGAGAAACGAGCGTGAAAATGCCTATTCACGTATAATTCCTCCTTGATGCAGTTAATTTTGAGCACGGGTCGCTGATCACATCATACTTTCACTTTTACATGATTTCGTGCGAGTGTGGACGTGCCATGAGTCTAAGACGTCGACTCGCCGCCGTAACCCTCATTTGAGCCGGAACAATGAAAGTTGCATTAATGAGTAGCTTGCTGATGTATTTGGTAGGTACAGGTAGGAACGTATCCCACTTGCATACAATTACAAATACTAGAGACAAATATCAACAAATACTACATTAAAATTATTTATAACTGAGGACTTATACTTAAGTAATACAACTAATACATACGAAAATGATTTGTTGGCATATGGAATGTCAGTAAGTAATAATTGTCAGCTTCAGTTGGTAGTTCCGTTAGTTAAGACGCATATTGGCGAGCCACTAGCCATCGTGGTTATGTAAAAAGTGACAACTATTGCACAATTGCTTCATTCGATGGCGAAACGGACGGCTTTGAAATGCCAGTGAAAGTCGCCAAGTGACTTCGCTATAGGTATCATGATAACGCTGGCGTGAGTATTACCTGTATAAGTGCATAGAGCTAGCTTTATTGCGTTCAACACTTATGTTGTATTTATGCAAGAAATGTATTCTGTGCATTGCGATTGCCCCTCGAGGGAATGGTCTCTTTGTAATCTTTAAAACAATAAGCATCGTGAGGGATAATTCAGAAAGCAAAATAGCATATCGGAATGGCATATTAATTCATGCATTTGTGCGTGCACTTAGAGAAATTCATACATGCGAGGTACATATATTAATTTGCTGAGTATGTGTGAAGTGTAATAGATAAATGATAGCGTGGGTAGAAGTATATTTCTAGTGTCCATATCACACTGGAAACCTATTAAAATTCTAGATGTTTACTATTTATAAAAGAAACAGTTATAATACCAAAATAACAGTAGTTTCCCACTGCCAAAGAAAAGCGAAAATTTAAATATCATATTAGATAATACGAAAACGAGGTTCACGGTCATTAGGAACGGCTATTGTATCGCCGTCACTCGTTTGTAGAGAGCCATTACGACCATAAAGAATGTCACATCGCAGCTAAATGTCAACGTTTTGGTGTCAAAAAACTAATTAAAAACTAATATTCATGGAGCTACGTTATGTATGACGTGTATTCGCTTTTATTTGTTTTGTCAAGCGTTTAAACTATTTAGAAATAGTAACAAATGCAGGTATAAAATAACTCAACGAGGTATACTTTTGACAAACTGCAAGTTGACTGTATTCACTGTTACGATTGCTTTTATGCGGTTGTTGAGTGCTTTTGGCGTCTCAAGATTGCGAAAACTGTCCGCTCTACTGCGCATCAATGTTGCCGCTTCGTAAAACGGATTATCCATGCTCGGTACGCCTCCACTATTTTGAAACTTGACAGTTTCTGTTATTTTTTGTTGTAATAAGAAACGAAATCTGCCGTCACAAGCTACCCTGAATTTAAGAATATTAGTTAGTAATAACTAAGAATATTAAAGTTATGCACAAGTCTTCCCGGCTGCATAACCATACTTGATGCACTTTGATGTTTAATGTGAGGGTAGTCAGAGTAACCAATTGAAACGTTAAGGTACCCATTGTGTAATAATAATTGCTAGAAATATAATAATTGATATCTGGTAATCAGCGAAAGTGGAAAATAAAGCGTTCGTGTACCCATGCGATGAAGAGCATTCACTGCAGTGAAGTCGTACAGAGTCGATAGCTGACTGGAAGCCGGCCGGTAGCTGTCGGCGTAGCACCGCACCGGCCGGCGCGGCGCGTGCGTGGTACTACGCCGACTGCTCTACGCCTTTCGCAAAGTGGATAGATAGCTAGAGCTATACATGTAAGCGTATGCGCAACTAAGTTGTTGTATTTTATTCACCTAACTCGGCCGTTTCAGGATCTCGATTTGTGGTTATCGATTACATGTGTATGTACTGACTGACATGTACTGACGTCAGTTTAATTTTAAAATGAGAATAGGTTTCATGTAGAATAAAAAATCGACATAATGTATAATTATCACAGTTGCCATGCTAGAGAAATAGATTAGAGCTGTGATGCTGCTAATTTTATTATTTAATAATAATATGTATTTAATAAATTCAATACAAGTAATACTTGCTTACAATTAAAAATAGAATTATCTGAATCGACCTATACGTATTACAGGAATTTCGACCGTATGTAAAACCTTTTAATTAACAAATGAATTTATGAAATCAGTATCCCTTTAATGAAAGTTGTTGTAGCTCTATATAGTTATTGTTAGTACCTACATATAGTTTTCGATTGTTTATGCATTGGGTATTCAGTGAGGCTGCAGTTGAAGTCACGTAGACACGCATGCATAAGCAATTCGGCTGTCAGCGGGCGATCGTGCACTAATAAATAGGTCAATAGCTTTACTACTTACTACCACATAATCGGTCTATTGTGCCTCGGCCTCGGTGTCATTGAGTCTACCAAACTAACTTTCAGTCGATTTACTGTTCACTTTGTAAACTGATTATCGATCGTGGATACAATCGAAGCTAAATCAAGTATTGTGTATTAAGCTTTCACTGCACATTATCATCAACTAGTTAAAGCATGTGTTTCTGAAGCAGAGGTGTACTCAATTGTCCTGTGACATTGACCTTAAAGTGACATTAAAACAAACCACTGCCCTAGAGAGAGATGTCAAACAATTTCACTACCTGTCATACGATCATACCTCACACGTGATGACGTGACAATTAAACGTGTCGCCTAAACACGATTTTCTGGTCGCCTAACGTAATAATATCAATTAACAGTTATTTATTGAAATAAGTGAGTAAATAAAAGGAAAGTAACACTCACTTTACTTTTGCAGTATGTAGGTAGTAGTTTTTGTAAGTAGATACTGTAGTGATAAGCTTTATCTCTCGAGAATCGGAGCAAACATTGCCATTGACAAAGGAAAGTTTCTGGGGTAAGTTAAGCAACTATCTTCACTATCTCGTGAATAGATAAGTTACGAAAATAATAGGTTACCTGCATATTACACAATACTTTTACTAGGTACTTAGATACAGATATTACTCCTACACCTACAAAATTACATTAATTTCTGAGCTGAAGCCAGAAATAAGTGCGTGGGCTAAAGTGAATCAACTTACCTACACGTGTTCGCTACACAAAATGTGTTCCCAAATATTCGCATGTTCTTGCAGATATAGACATAACTGGTATTTACAGATATACATGTACATACCAGATCTGTACATGACATTTAATAAGTCTATGAATAACTTTACATTTCATTTTCCACGCCTACGTTTATATTTGACGATGTTTTCTTCATTCATTAATTCCAATTCCTAGTCAATAAACAAGAAACATATAATTAAAACATAGGACATTCATATTTTTAAGCTTCTTATAAAACAAAAGAAACAAGTATTAGAAACGTAATCA